CAGCACAGTTGTAAAGAGTGCACATTGATATTCATTTTCCTTCTAATTCTGCAGATGCAAATTAGCTCAATGAAGGAACTGAGTGGATAATGGAAAAGTGTTTATTCTACATTGTGAAATAGTGAGCCTAGAAAATTAATAAGTTTTGACATTTAAGATCTTTCTATTTCTATTATATTATATGAATATGAAATACGAATGATTATTTGCTTCTCTTCTTAAGAATGCCATTCCCAATCTAGCCTTGATCAAAGTGATAGAAACCCAGAATAAAAGTACAATGTAATAAAATACACAGTGGACATTCAAGTCTGTGTACATTTAAAACAGACTCCAAAGAGCGGTTCAAAATTCACCTGGAATATTCCTCAGTATTTCCTCAAATGGGGAAGAACTTACCACTAAGTTACTCACTAAAAATTAGTTAAATTCCAAGTACACTCAAGAAAAAAGTACTTGGAGAGGGTTTGTAAATAAAAGCTACACTCACTGACTACAATATTCAGTATGAATTCTCTACTGAGCTTTCATAAACTCTCTCTATGGAAATATTCTGTAGTGCTCTGAATAAAGAAAATTCCTCTGTTTAGGAACTTTCTCAACTTTGAAGTACTTGCCATATCTCTGTGTTCACCAGCCAAGTTCATATTGCACCCATCAACATCTGTTTTAAATAAAAATTAATTTATTGACCAGGACACCAATTTACCAGTATTTGCTTGGAAATATCTGAATGCAGTACATGTTTTTTAATACTTTGCTTACGTACCTATGTACATATATATGCAGAAAACCAATAGTAAATTGCATCTGCTGATCTTGCACATATAAACCTCAAAATGCACGTGTCTAAAAATCTGTACCCTCATGTATATACATCCACAGCCTCAAATGTGCAAACCACATATGCATATGAATAAGCACAAACGTTTCAAACACATACATTACTTTAACTGTGCCTGAACAGTATCATCCTAATAGCATCTGAAAACATCTTAAAGACTGGTGTAAAAATCACCAGTGGAAAAAAATCCATTTCTCTTCATTGCAAATGTTTGTTAAATGTAAATGCTTATATTCTACTCCTTGGAACATTTGTCTGCATGTGGAATTTCATGATAAAAAGCTTTAGAGTGCCAGGTTTCTCTAGATAAACCCCACTGGTTTACTGATGCATGAATGCACTGAAATTGAATTACTGTACAATAGCAATTACTTTTCACAGTACAGTTATAATGAGAATCAGCTTCACAATGAACACCAGGTAGCTACAGTAGGAAAAGTTAATAAAAAGAAGTCCCTTATTTGCATTTTCCATTGCAGCAATGGTAGTTGCCTTAAAGAAAAATCATCCTTAACACTCCATTTGCCATCTTGCCAGTAAATCAACAATCATTTTTATAGGATCTCTTTATTTACAAAGAAAGACTAATGAAAATAGAAACTTAAATGCACAGCTGAAGTTTTAATAATAGCTTTTTGGATATTCCCTAATAACTTACTTATCTTTCATTTTGCTTTCTTTTTCACTTCCCTCTAGCCTTCTTGGAATGTTTTTCCATTGTGCCAATAAGTAGGAAATGTTAAAGCACCCAATGAACAATTTTAATTCCATCCCTTTTTCAATTTCAAGTTTATTGCCATAGTCATTTGTTACTGAGCATTGTGTCATAGTGCTCCATTGCTGTTCAGTTTCATAAAACTTACAAAAATTATTTAAAAAATCATGCGTAACTTTACATTAAAGACTGATCAAGCACATTTCCTATGAGTGAAATCATTAAAAGTCCAGGAAAAGCATCTGCAGTAATACCACAAGTGACAGCAGACTACACAAGGCTCTCAAAGAGTTTATTTGTGTTTGGCTGTAAAATTAAACCAACTGCTGAACAGTGCAGGAAACACTTCCATGTCTGCCACCTTATGGGCAGTAAGATTTTTCCCAACTCAAGGGTCATAATCTTAAAAGCAAATGGATACATCAACCTTTGTCACAGATAGAAACAAAGCATCAGCAACACTGAATCAAAGCTGCTCTTCGGTGATTTTACCTTCATTCATGACACAAATACCTCAGAATAAAATATAGTTGCCTGCCTGAAATTCCATCAAGTAGGGCAGTATTAGGAAGGAAATGGTTAACAGGAATATCCTGAACTGACATAAACCTGAGGTAAATAGTGAACACTGGGGACAGGCTGGAAAGTTGCTTGCAAGGGTTTCCATCAGTAAGTAGATGACAAAAGGTTATATAATTGGTTTAGTACTTTCAGTTTTCCATTTATCTTATGTATCTGACAGCATAAAAATAGGACATTCTGTGATAGGATAATTGCATACTGAAGGGTAATTCAAACGGGATGGATATGATAAAAATCACACTGAACCAACTAATCACTATGAAAAGCGATGAGACAGAAAGATAAAAAATCAACCAGAATATTAAGGGGGAGGAGGGAAAAGAGTTCAAACGTGATAGTAGCTTTGAACAAGTTAATGTGTTTGAAAGTATAAAGCAAAACAAACCAACCAACCAAACAAACAAAAACCACAAGGCCTTTCCAAGCCATTCTATTTCTATATTTTCTGGTCTTTCTTCTTGGCCTTTTCTACCAATCAAACATTTTATATGCTATGGCCTTCTGAATATTTGTCACAGATTGTTATATCTGCTGGAACCCAAAGAAGTACATTGCTTAAAATGTTTTATCTAAAAAGTATTTTAGATTAAACCATGGATATTGATGTCTACATGAAGCTAATACAATCAGTATTGTAGGGTAACAATTTGGGCTAACTGTGGAACATGTTTTCTGAGCCCTTGGATTTGAACCCTCACTATGGTGACACCATTATTTTAGGGCTGAGAGATATTTGTAGGGTACTTTTCATTCTGTATTTACCCCAATATATCCAACATACTACTCTGAACTCTATGTTTCAGTGCTCTTGCACAAGTTTCCATCAAAAGCTTATATCAAAATTGTATTATTTTAGAGGCAAGATGATCAGGTTGCAGAGTGGAGCAGAGATCTTAGGTCCATAGGAGTGTTGTAACTCCTATCTCCCCACCCCAGATTTGAGGGGAAAATTAGTTATGATATACCACAGATGAAACTCCTGTAAAACCTGCACTGTACCAAAGGGTTTTGTACTTCTCAGGGTGTAAAACACAAAACACTACTTACTACCAGAACATAATAGGTCCCTCACTACAGCTCTAGCAACCAAGATGGACCACTTTATGTAATTATGCAAAAATTATTTGTTCTATTGGAAAGTACACTGAACAGATCATTTCTTAAAAGAAGTGACCCTGTCCAAACCAAGCTTTCAGCTTCCTTTCCAAAGACAGAAACCTTCCCAAGAAGGCTCTGGATTTCAGTTACTTTTTCCAGCACTAAAATCCATTCATTCAATATTATACACATGGTTTAACTTCACAGAATTTGGGCCCATTTTTACTCAGAGCATGGTGGCCTATATTGATCCTACATTTTTTTCCTCCTTAGATAAACATACCATCTGTTTGAAGAGACCACACCTGTTCTAAACATTTGTTAGGAAGCTCTAATTGAGACACAAACTGCTCTTCCCCACCAACACTCCTCGCTCATGGAATTCTATTCCCTCACCAGCAAGTGTGCAGCTCGCTGGTCACTTCTTGCTCCAAATAAGTGCACCTCAAAAAATGATTTTTTTTCAAATTGTTATGATCTCAGGGGAGCAGTTTTCTCTGCTAAGGAACAAGGAAAACAGTTCCCCCTGAGTCAATATTCTGCAGGCTTCTGGAAGCTGTTGCACACATATTAAAGTGTAGTTTTTCCTCTGAAAAACAGACTGTAAAAATAGCATTGTGGGGTTCCATGTTTATTGTCTTTCTCTGCTTCCCTGCCAAGCGCGCTCCGTTTTACAAGCTGAAATATGTTTTACTTCACTGTCAGCCCAGAAAATTCAACCTCTAAAATGTAGCCAAATTCCTTCCTCCCTTTTGCACCATAACAAATAATACAAGACTGAAGGCGAAATTGTGTCTCCAGTTACACAAATGGAATCCCTGTCCTCGGGTGATGCTTTCGGCTCTGCGGTTGAGACACAAATACCTTCAACTCAATTGAGCAGACAAGCCTGGCTGAAATGGAGTAGCTGCTGGTAAACAGCATCGCCAGAATGTCCTGTTAGTTTGCTGATACAGGTGATGTAACAGGAACTACTGTTCCAGGCAGTCACCTCCATTTCTAGAAAAGAATAATGCAAAATGAAAACTACAACAGGGAGATCAGTTATTCCTTAGGACCTGCAAGTTACTACGAGCTCCTGTTTGAGATAGTAAAACATAGAAATCAGAATTTTTTCTCTTTCTTATGGTAAATCTAACAGGCATGAAAGCTACTGCAAAAGCAGGATCAGAATGGAGATTTTAGAAAAGAAAAAAAAACCAAACCAAACAAACAAATACACAAAAACTTACAGATGTACAGAAAGCTGTCTAGTTACTTAAGGATCACTATTAAGTTGTCTGTAGAGTGATGTAGTACTTACCACAATTAAAGGAATTTTGTATTTGGTTCCATTTGAAGTCTTTGCTTGTTTTTCTTGATTTGAACTAAAGGACAGTTATTGAACTCAGACATCTCCCTGCAATACTATTTTCGTAAGAGTGAGCAGTGAAATTAAGTCTGCTTTGGTTGGATATTTTGAAATCTAACATTTTAATGCACAACCGTATGTAGTTAGGTTTTACTGCACACAAATGATACCTTACAAACTCATATCAGAAACTGGTAGTCCAAATCTGGTTACACTCTCTTACATTTATCCACTGAAGGTATAAATAATTTATATCTATTCTCTTGAACGCTGATCCTAAAATACTTCTGAATGCTTTCGCATTTCCACTTCAGCACCTTCAATTGCTAGTACAGCCTTCAGAGCAAAACCTAAATTATATACTTAGTTTTACATCACAGAAGGAAATAGCAGGTTGATCTGCTGCTTACCCGTACAGCTTCAGACTTCTTATGAAACATTTCTTCCATATTCTTTGCTAACTTTTTCACAAGCTGGAGGCCATCAATTTCTTCTATTGCAACATCCTTCTCATATTCTTTGTATTTCTGGAAAAAGAAAAAAAATAAAAATAGGGAAAAGTTATTCACAGGGAACCAGCTGAAATTCTGACAACTAATTATTAGTTTCGTATTACACTTTTACTGACATTCTTCATTTATGTGACATTTATTGGTGTGACAGCAGACTGCATTGTGCCAAGATGCCACTGCAGGAAGAGAACAACTGGATTGGAATCAGAACTCCATTTAAAAAAATAATAAAAATATTTATCTCGTGCACTGTAGGAAAATGACAATTCCCCTTCACAACATTTAAATTATGCCTCCCCCCAACTAAACAACAGCCCAAAAAAAAGTAGCCAAAAATACATGTATCCCATCCAAGAACCATTTCAAACCAGTGATATGCTTGGCAATCCACCGAGTCCTAGCAACCTAGAATCATCCTCCTCCTCCTAAGCAGAACTTCCTGTAGACATCTATTCCACGAGCTGCATACAATGCTTACATTATAAATACATACACTACAAGCTTGTCAAGACACTTCCATGCAAAGAAAACCCTAAACAAGTCACAGCAACATGAGTCTTCATCCCAACACAAGCATAAAAACATCCTTTATGCACTATGGATGAGCATCACCGTGCGGTCTCGTGTCGCCATGTGACTCTCTCTCAGAATGCCTAGGCATTAAAAATATATTCCAAACTATTTTTATCTTCTATTTTCTGCATATCAAAATTTTTTCTTTATCAACGTTTATAAGGGAGCTTGTAAGAATGAATTATTTTCATCTTCTTTCCCGTGTCATTCCAGTATAGCCACTACTCTAAGAACAGATGCCTTTCAGTCCAGCTGTGGTTTGCTCATCTCCTTCTAAAACATGTATGATTATGTTGAACTAATCACTGCCCATTTCCAAATCCTCAACCTCTTCACAACCTGTACCTCCATGACACTGCAAGGAAGAAGAAAGGCATACCTGGCTTTTGCCAGTTTTATCCCTGTGTGGCAAAAATACCTTCCAAACCCTTAGGACAACCCACAGTACGGTATTTGAGCCAATAAAACAAAATGGTATTATTCAAAAGATTTATCACTAGAATTCACCTACAGAATTACAATTATCTCCTTGTATAACTCCAGAGAATGAAGAATAGGACAATCAAAAACAGTGGTTCAAAGTACCTGGATGAACATTAACATGATCAAAACAGTGAATAAGTCATGACCAGTCATGTCCTGGCTGGTGACGGAAGAAAGGATTCTATTTTAGGAGAACATTGTGCCCATTTCTTCCAACAAAACTAATTTTCAAGGTAGAATGACACTTTGGACTTGCTTTAAAATTTATACCTCTCTGTGAAAACTTGTGTGAATATTTTAATAATGAAACAATATTTGATAAAACATAATTTGCAGACAATTTCAAAATAAAGTTAAAAATACAAAGCTGTCAGTAAATATTTAGGGCAATAAAATTTTTGCATTCCACAATTTCAGTAATAATTTCATTTTTCCACACTGTTTCCTGTGATGAGTCTCTAGTCTGAGACTTTGATAGCAGCCTAAGCAACCTAAGAAACCACAAGCAGGTCACTTGTGTTTTGCTCCCTTGGGGAAAGAGGGGAGGTTTGGGTTTTCCCCCCCTTCTTGGTTGGCACTTAGATATCACAAGCAGAGTTCTGATTTTAACTCTGCAAGTCCATTTATGCCATTACTTGAGATAAGAGTGCTTTGTCTACAGTAGAAAAATATATTTTTATTATTTACTGGAGCAAATACAAGAACACAGTAGACAGAGAGGCAAATATTATTGTAACAAATACTGTGATAAATTGTAGTAAATGATCAGTAAATTGAAAACATTGCCAGGTAATTAATGATGTCAAAGTCTGTCCACATCCCACAGGATTTGAAGCTTTGGAGAATTTAAAACAAATGAAGTACAAATTTGAATCACTTATTTCCAGCTGCACAGATCCTGTTCAACATCTCACCTTCTGATAAAAATAGTTTCCTTTAGACTTGACCTTTGAGTTCTTAGAAAGCGTTCTAAAATGCATCACTGGAAGAGATTGCTTTCAGGTCATCAGATTTATTGATTTAAGCTTTGCCATCAAGTGAAGAAAACCAGGCAATTATTCACTGAGTTTGTGAGAAAACTGAATGGTACAGTTGAAGTCCACAAAATTTTCGAGACACACAAAATCCTACCACGTACTCTGTTAGGTTCTTGTGAGAGCATATTAAAAAGCCACACTTCTCAATTTTGATTAACTGGTGCTTTTGAAAATTAAAAATAACTTGTACTCAAAATAGATGTGAATGATTTCTTAACTGATAATTTTTGATTTTATCATTATGCTTGCTCATAGTACATAAATTCTTTTTTTGCTAATTTAAAAGCTAATGTTCCAACATAAAAGAAGAAACAGAAGATATTATTTAAGATCTATTTGAAAAGACCACACATCTTGCATGGTGCCTGTCTAGTCAGTTGTTGGAAACCTTCAAGAACGTTCGCAACCAACTAGGAGTGGTTACTTGATCTGCAAGACCCTGCTAACCAAGAGGTTTACATCACAAGAGGTTTGCATAATATGTATTTTACATTCACATAAAAAACAATTCTATTTTTTCAGGCATCAGTGAAAGGTCACAAAACAGGAGAAATTACGTGGTTGGAAAAAGCACCAGCTGTTTTTACTGTCCTTGTGCTCCAGTAATTTTGTCTGGAAGGAAGAGGTGCCACCCTAATCTGTGTCTGTGCACTTCCTCTTAGCACTCACTCTGCATGATGCTGGGAATTTAGATTCAATCTAGAAAGTAGTTGTTTTTATAAGAAACCTGAATCACACAAGATAGTGAAAAAACCAGAACCACAATAAAACCATAACGAAGGCCATCATTGATAATGGATTCTCTTCCTTTCACTGCAGAGGCTCTCAGATCTCCAGCTCTCATCATTTCCCTACCACTGAATTTTTACATATTAAATTTGGGGCTACTATAAATTATCTAAAACTGCAAAGTCCCTTTGAAATAAGTTTGAATTAGTTTTTAAATGAAATTATTTCATTTTAAGGTGATCCTGAGAAAGCAGCACTGTGCCACTATGGCTCCAAGTAAACAAAATGCTATCATGAAGTGGTGAAAAAAAAACAGTTACTGAGCCAGGCTGGCCTTTATACTCCAGACTTGCCAACTACCTTGTAGTACTGCTGCTCTGAAGGGCTATTCCAAGCAATGCCTTAAACTGACATTTCCCTTCACTGTAAAAATTATGAAGCTGATGATAAAGCTTTTGTTTTAATTTTAAAATTAAAAAAATTAAACCCTCATTTTTTTTTCAGTATTTCATAATTTTATTCCGTTAAGGGATACTGAAAAGTTCTCATAATTTGCAACTTGGGCAGTAATACATGTGGCACTGTTATTAAAGGGAGAGAAAACAACTATCACTTCGCTATAAATAATTGACCCACATAAAAAAAAGCGCATGAAAAATTAGAGTCATAGTTGGATCTTTTCTTTTGATAAGTCGATTTCCAATTGTCTAGAAGATTGAGCAGATACAACTTCTGAGTTGCTGCATTATAAAAAAAAACCAACTTGAAATGCTGATTCTTTCTGCTTGCAAAAATCAGCATTTGGTAAGAAATTCTCCAGAGAGACAGGAACATTTATCATTTGAGAAAGCACACAAAAAATACATTATTTCTTCAGTATCTGTTTTGCCAGATCATTTCACATAAACACCGGGGAAAGACAGACAGTATTTCACTGTCAGAACTCTTAATGTTTTTCATGAGTTTAGGTGTGGGGTTTTTTCTCTCGCTTAATAAATGGTCACCTAGAAATAACAAACCAGAAAGCAATCTATACAAAACTAGGGTCAGGAGCCTTTAATGCAATCCAAGTATTTGGCACTGAAACAACAAAAAACACACACACACCCCCCAACAAAAAGTGCAAACACACAAACAAAAAACCCAAACAAAACCCCACAACAAAGAAAAACTCCACCAAAACCCAAACAAACAAAATCAAAATAAAGCTAAACCACACCAAAACCTACATAGTTTGAGTGACTAAGGCAGGAAAAGTACACTCAAAGCAAGATTGTCAGCTACAGCTGGAATGTTTTCTCCTTGTCTTTACTCCAGAGAAACATTATCTTTGTGTTCCAACTTCTAGCTACTTCTATCAAGTCTTATCAAAATCAAGATATTTGCCCTTATGCTGTATATAAAAATATTTCAAGTTACTTACAAGTGTGTAAACAGTCCTTAGTCTCAGTCTTTCAACAAGGCTCTGGGTGCTTTGTACATCTGCAGAACACTACACCCATTTATGATGAAAACAATTCCCACTCCCTGGAATTTTCAGAGCCAGTAAATACCACTACCATCCTGATTAAAGAAAGGAATTCAACAGGAATCTTGTAATAATACTATAAAATTAATCTCTCTGGTTGCATATTTGGAATGGATATATGCCTGTGAGGTGCATTCACAGCTATAGTTGTACTTACTTTACAAATGCTGCTGTTTGAGAGGTTTTGTCACAGACATGTTAAATCTATATATGCATACATACATTTTGTTTTACAATGAAAAAGCAGAACCGTCATGCAAATGAAAGATCAAATATCCAATCTATCCATTGTTTCCATGACAAAAATAAGTGTATGTTTACTCCATGCCATTTCCAAAAAACCGCTTGCAGATGTTGAAGTCTCAACATTGCAAAATGTAAAATGAGATCACAGAAACATACACTTTTGATTAAATCACCAACTTTTGATTTCAGCTAATATCTGTGGCCCAGTAGAAGGGCTGTGCTAGGCAGTGATGGAACAGTTTAAACTTGCTTCAGACACTGCCATGGGATCCTAACAGTGACTCCCTTCGGAGGGCAAGTGCTGGTCTGAAGGGTCACAGGAATTAATGGGCTTGAATTCTGTACTTGAGATTTCCTGACAATCAAATGTAATCAATGAAAGACTCTGCAAAGCTGCTGAAAGCTCACAGCTAATACAA